GCGTGCTCAATTTTAAAGTGTGACGTGTTTGCTATTTGCTCAGTGCAACACCATATTTTATATTTAAAAAAAAATGGGTATTATATTTTGTTTGTATGCATTAAAATTCATTAAAGTGTATTTTTTCCCCAAAAATTGCATTAAAAAACGTTTGCGCAAATACCATGAGACATAAAAAAATTGCAAAACCAAACCTTTTATTCTCTATGGCCTGTGATAAAAAATATATAGAATGTTTGGGGGTTCTAAGTAATTTTTTAGCAAAATTACAAATTTTTACTTGCAAACAAAAAGTGTCAGAAGAAGGCCTCATCGTGTGGTTAAGCTGTGAAAAAATCTCACACATATGGTATTGCCATTAGAGATGAGTGAAGTATTCAAAAATTCGATTCGACTGATTTGGCGAATTCGTGGAAGAATTTCGATTCGAGTCGAATATATTCGCTGCGAATTTAACTTATAAAAGGGTGTTTCTAGGCTTCAGAGAGCCTTTATATTAGTGCAGAACACTGTACCTTTAATTTAAATGCCCTTGGAGTCTGCTGGGGAAGAGAAATAATACTGTCAGTCAGTATGACATGCAGATGAGTGCCGTCGATCTTAGAATCACCGCACACTTCACTCATTTGGGCAGTCACGGGGCCAAAACCAGAGTGTGGAGCCACAGTGTGGCGGTGGAGGCAGCAGCAATGGGAGGCCATACAGCACCCTATGACAAAAATGGAAACCACCAGCAGTGTGAGGAGACCTGAAAGTGGCACATGGCAGAGTGTGGCGATGGAGACAGCAGCAATGGGAGGCCGTACAGGGACCCATGACACACTCTGGACCTGGAGCAGCATGAAGAGGCGGTACAGGGGCCCATGACAGATTACGGGCCTGGCAGCAGCATGAGGAGTCGGTACGGGGGCCCATGACACACTCTGGACCTGGCAGCAGCATGAGGCGGTACAGGGGCACATGACAGATTACGAGCCTGGCAGCAGCAACTTGGACAGGAGGACGTTCAGCTTCTGCACCGTCGGGTGCGTGCTCGCAAACTGTTGTCTCTTGGAAACGTATTCCAAGAAAGACTGCTGACGGAATCCGTGAAGAGGAGTAGCAGGAGAAGGAGCATCTGAACGAGCGGAATATGCCAACAAGCGACAACAGGGGCCCATGACAGATTACGGGCCTGGCAGCAGCATGAGGAGTCGGTACGGGGGCCCATGGCAGATTACGGGACTGGCAGCAGCAATGGGAGGCCCGTAATCTGCCAGCACCCTATGACAAAAAATGGAACACACCAGCAGTGTGTGAGGAGACCTGAAAGTGGCACATGGCAGAGTGTGGCGATGGAGACAGCAGCAATGGGAGGCCGTACAGGGACCCATGAGAGACTCTGGACCTGGCAGCAGCATGAGGAGGCGGTACAGGGGCCCATGGCAGATTACGGGCCTGGCAGCAGCAATGGGAGGCCCGTAATCTGCCAGCACCCTATGACAAAAAATGGAACACACCAGCAGTGTGAGGAGACCTGAAAGTGGCACATGGCATGACACACTGTGGACCTGGCAGCAGCATGAGGAGGCGGTACAGGGGCCCATGGCAGATTAGGGGCCTGGCAGCAGCTATGGGAGGCCCGTAATCTGCCAGCACCCTATGACAAAAAATGGAACACACCAGCAGTGTGTGAGGAGACCTGAAAGTGGCACATGGCAGAGTGTGGCGATGGAGACAGCAGCAATGGGAGGCCGTACAGGGACCCATGACACACTCTGAACCTGGCAGCAGCATGAGGAGGCGGTACAGGGGCCCATGGCAGATTACGGGCCTGGCAGCAGCAATGGGAGGCCCGTAATCTGCCAGCACCCTATGACAAAAAATGGAACACACCAGCAGTGTGAGGAGACCTGAAAGTGGCACATGTTTGGGGCATGATTCATGGCGGATTTAGTCAGTTGAGTCAGGAATGGTGGTTTGAAATCCAGACTAATCCACGCCTGGACCCATTTTCACAAACGTGAGTCTCTCCACACTTTGGGTGGACAGTCGTGTCCTCCGCGGAGTTACAATACCTCCTGCCGCACTAAACACGCGCCCCATGCCACGCTACTGGCCGGGCATGACAGCCTTTCAAGGGCAAATTCAGCTAGTTGGGGCCAAAGGTCAAGTGTTTCATTGCCCAGTAGTCAAGGGGATTGTCTACCTCGGTTGGCAGGGTGCTGTCCAAGTAGGCCTAAGCCTGTTGTTTGAGGTCCTGCAGGTCCACCTGGTCCACCTGATGCTGCTGCTGCTGCGGCTGGTTAGTAGTTTCCTCACTGCGCTGGTGAAGAAAGCTACTCATCATCGACTGCAGACAGAGGCAGCCACTGCTGCTGGTGGAGCTGCCACTGCATGCTCCTACCACCCCCACCCCTCCCCTGCTGCCATGGGCAGCGGAACGCGAGCGCACAGGGCCCACAGTGTATGAGGATGAACGTTGGTGCAGAAAGGCAGAGACCAGCTGACTACATAGGTGCTTTTTATAGTACGTTATTTTGGCCTCCCTCTCAGCAGGTGTGAAAAAGGCCACCATTTTTGAACGTAGCGACGGTCCAACAAGGTGGACAGCCAAAAGTCATCCCCTCTGTCTGATGGTTATTATTCGGCTGTCGCTACGCAAGCAAGCGAGCATGCTATGGGCCATTTGTGCCAAGGAATGCGAGGGACTCCCTGCCTCCATCTCCACAGCATACTGCCACGGTGCGTCTGGGTCCTCTGTCTCCTCCTCCTCCTCCTCCTCTACCAGATGCTCCTGCTCCTCCACTCCTGTCCGCTGAGTGGAAAAACCACCCATTTCACTCAATAATTCCTGAGCACCAATGTCCTCCTCTACCTCCTCCTCTTCTTCCTGTCCTGCCCCCACAGGGGTCATGTGGCGTTGAGATCTGCGCCACGTCTACCGCACCCTGACCAGCCATTGTTAACAGCATTTGTTCCAGGACGTGCAACAGAGGAATGACGTCGTTCATCCCATAGTCCTGCCGACTCACGAATAGCGTGGCCTCCTCAAAGGGCCTGAGCAAGCGCAGGTGTCACGCATGAGCTGCCAATGGCTGACATCTAAGTTACACAGGGAGTACCTTTATCCGCTTGTAACATCAGGAAATCTGTGATGGCCTTTCGCTGTTCGTAAAGGCGGTCTAACATATGTAGGGTTGAATTCCACCTTGTTGCAACGTCACAGCATGAGGAGTCGGTACGGGGGCCCATGGCAGATTACGGGCCTGGCAGCAGCAATGGGAGGCCCGTAATCTGCCAGCACCCTATGACAAAAAATGTAACACACCAGCAGTGTGAGGAGATCTGAAAGTGGCACATGGCAGAGTGTGGCGATGGAGACAGCAGCAATGGGAGGCCGTACAGGGACCCATGAAGAGACTCTGGACCTGGCAGCAGCATGAGGAGGCGGTATAGGGGCCCATGGCAGATTAGGGGCCTGGCAGCAGCTATGGGAGGCCCGTAATCTGCCAGCACCCTATGACAAAAAATTGAACACACCAGCAGTGTGTGAGGAGACCTGAAAGTGGCACATGGCAGAGTGTGGCGATGGAGACAGCAGCAATGGGAGGCCGTACAGGGACCCATGAGACACTCTGGACCTGGCAGCAGCATGAGGAGGCGGTACAGGGGCCCATGGCAGATTAGGGGCCTGGCAGCAGCTATGGGAGGCCCGTAATCTGCCAGCACCCTATGACAAAAAATTGAACACACCAGCAGTGTGAGGAGACCTGAAAGTGGCACATGGCAGAGTGTGGCGATGGAGACAGCAGCAATGGGAGGCCGTACAGGGACCCATGAGAGACTCTGGACCTGGCAGCAGCATGAGGAGGCGGTATAGGGGCCCATGGCAGATTAGGGGCCTGGCAGCAGCTATGGGAGGCCCGTAATCTGCCAGCACCCTATGACAAAAAAATGGAACACACCAGCAGTGTGAGGAGACCTGAAAGTGGCACATGGCAGAGTGTGGCATGATTCATGCGGATTTAGCAGTTGGGAGGCCGGAACTGGGGACCCATGAAATCCTGGACCTGGCAGCAGCATCAGGAGGCGGTACAGGGGCCCATGGCAGATTAGGGGCCTGGCAGCAGCTATGGGAGGCCCGTAATCTGCCAGCACCCTAGACAAAAAATGGAACACTCCTGCAGCAGTGTGAGGAGACCTGAAAGTGGCACATGGGCATGACAGCGATGGAAAGCAGCAGTTGGGGCCAAAGGTCAAGTTTCATTGCCCAGAGTCAAGGGGATTGGCTACCTCGGTATGGGAGGGTAATCTGCTGTCCAAAAGGGGCCCAGCCTGTTGTTTGAGGTCCTGCTCCAGGTCCATGGCTGAGCTGCTGCTGCTGCTGCTGCGGTAATGGTTAGTAGTTTCCTCACTGCGCTGGTGAAGAAAGCTACTCATCATCGACTGCAGACTGAGGCAGGCATGCCGCTGCTGGTGGAGCTGCCACTGCTCCTACCACCCCACCCCTCCCCTGCTGCCATGGCAGCATGAGGAGGCGTACAGGAGCCCATGGCAGACAGGGCCTGGCACAGTGTATGGGAGGCCCGTAATCTGCCAGCACGTTATGCAAAAAGGCAGAGACCAGCTGACTACATAGGTGGAGTACGTTATTTTGGCCTCCCTGGCAGCAGTGTGAAAAAAGGCCACCATTTTTGAACGGCAAGCGGAGGCCCAACAAGGTGGACAGCCAAAAGTCATCCCTCTGTCTGATGGTTATTATTCGGCTGTCGCTACGCAGCAGAGGAGCGAGCATGCTAGGGGCCATTTGTGCCAAGGAATGCGAGGGCCTGGCTCCACAGCATAGCCATGGGGTCTGGGTCCCGTAATCTCCAGCCTCCTCCTCCTCTACCAGATGCTCCTGCTCCTCCACTCCTGTCCCTGAGTGGAAAAACCACCCATTTCACTCAATAATTCCTGAGCACACCAATGTCCTCCCTACCCAGCACCCCTCTTCTTCCTGTCCTGCCCCCCACAGGGTCATGTGGCGTTGAGATCTGTGCGCCACGTCTACCGCACCCTGACCAGCCATTGTTAACAGCATTTGTTCCAGAGGCGTGCAACAGAGGAATGGCGTTCATCCCATAGGGCCTGCCGAGCAGCGAATAGCGTGGCCTCCTCAAAGGGCCAGCACCCTAGGTGTCACGCAAAAAGCTGCCAATGGCACACCAGCAGTTGTGAGGAGTACCTGAAAGTGTAACATCAGGAAATCTGTGATGGCGATGTTCGAAAGGCGGCTAACAATGTAGGCCGTTGAAGGGACCCATTGCAGACTCTGGACCTGGCAGCAGCATGAGGAGGCGGTACGGGGGCCCATGGCAGATTAGGGGCCTGGCAGCAGCTATGGGAGGCCCGTAATCTGCCAGCACCCTATGACAAAAAATGGAACACACCAGCAGTGTGAGGAGACCTGAAAGTGGCACACATGGCATGAGTGAGGCAGCAGCAATGGGAGGCCGTACAGGGACCCATGAGAGACTCTGGACCTGGCAGCAGCATGAGGAGGCGGTACAGGGGCCCATGGCAGATTAGGGGCCTGGCAGCAGCTATGGGAGGCCCGTAATCTGCCAGCACCCTATGACAAAAAATGAAACACACCAGCAGTGTGAGGAGACCTGAAAGTGGCACATGGCAGAGTGTGGCGATGGAGACAGCAGCAATGGGAGGCCGTACAGGGACCCATGAGAGACTCTGGACCTGGCAGCAGCATGAGGAGGCGGTACAGGGGCCCATGGCAGATTAGGGGCCTGGCAGCAGCTATGGGAGGCCCGTAATCTGCCAGCACCCTATGACAAAAAATGGAACACACCAGCAGTGTGTGAGGAGACCTGAAAGTGGCACATGGCAGAGTGTGGCGATGGAGACAGCAGCATGGGACCGTACAGGGACCCATGAGAGACTCAGACCTGCAGCAGCATGAGGAGGCGGTATAGGGGCCCATGGCAGATTAGGGGCCTGGCAGCAGCTATGGGAGGCCCGTAATCTGCCAGCACCCTATGACAAAAAATGGAACACACCAGCAGTGTGAGGAGACCTGAAAGTGGCACATGGCAGAGTGTGGCGATGGAGACAGCAGCAATGGGAGGCCGTACAGGGACCCATGAGAGACTCTGGACCTGGCAGCAGCATGAGGAGGCGGTATAGGGGCCCATGGCAGATTAGGGGCCTGGCAGCAGCTATGGGAGGCCCGTAATCTGCCAGCACCCTATGACAAAAAATGGAACACACCAGCAGCAGTGTGAGGAGACCTGAAAGTGGCACATGGCAAGTGTGGCGATGGAGACAGCAGCAATGGGAGGCCGTACAGGGACCCATGAGACACTCTGGACCTGGCAGCAGCATGAGGAGGCGGTACAGGGGCCCATGGCAGATTAGGGGCCTGGCAGCAGCTATGGGAGGCCCGTAATCTGCCAGCACCCTATGACAAAAAATGAACACACCACCAGCAGTGTGAGGAGACCTGAAAGTGGCACATGGCAGAGTGTGGCGATGGAGACAGCAGCAATGGGAGGCCGTACAGGGACCCATGAGAGACTCTGGACCTGGCAGCAGCATGAGGAGGCGGTACAGGGGCCCATGGCAGATTAGGGGCCTGAGCAGCTATGGGAGGCCCGTAATCTGCCAGCACCCTATGACAAAAAATGGAACACACCAGCAGTGTGAGGAGACCTGAAAGTGGCACATGTTTGGGGCATGATTCATGGCGGATTTAGTCAGTTGTGTCAGGAACTGGTGGTTTGAAATCCAGACTAATCCACGCCTGATTCATTTTCACAAACGTGAGTCTCTCCACACTTTGGGTGGACAGTCGTGTCCTCCGCGGAGTTACAATACCTCCTGCCGCACTAAACACGCGCTCCGATGCCACGCTACTACTGGCCGGGCATGACAGCCTTTCAAGGGCAAATTCAGCTAGTTGGGGCCAAAGGTCAAGTTTCGTTGCCCAGTAGTCAAGGGGATTGTCTACCTCGGTTGGCAGGGTGCTGTCCAAGTAGGCCCAAGCCTGTTGTTTGAGGTCCTGCTCCAGGTCCACCTGATGCTGCTGCTGCTGCTGCTGCTGCGGCTGGTTAGTAGTTTCCTCACTGCGCTGGTGAAGAAAGCTACTCATCATCGACTGCAGACTGAGGCAGCCGCTGCTGGTGGAGAGCTACCACTGCTCCTACCACCCCACCCCTCCCCTGCTGCCATGGCAGCGGAACGCGAGCGCACAGGGCCCACAGTGTCTGAGGATGGACGTTGGCGCACAAAGGCAGAGACCAACTGACTACATAGGTGGTTTTTATAGTACGTTATTTTGGCCTCCCTCTCAGCAGGTGTGAAAAAGGCCACCATTTTTGAACGGTAGCGAGGGTCCAACAAGGTGGACAGCCAAAAGTCATCCCTCTGTCTGATGGTTATTATTCGGCTGTCGCTACGCAAGCAACCGAGCATGCTATGGGCCATTTGTGCCAAGGAATGCGAGGGGACTCCCTGCCTCCATCTCCACAGCATACTGCCACGGTGCGTCTGGGTCCTCTGTCTCCTCCTCCTCCTCCTCTACCAGATGCTCCTGCTCCTCCACTCCTGTCCGCTGAGTGGAAAAACCACCCATTTCACTCAATAATTCCTGAGCACAAATGTCCTCCTCTACCTCCTCCTCTTCTTCCTGTCCTGCCCCCACAGGGGTCATGTGGCGTTGAGATCTGTGCGCCACGTCTACCGCACCCTGACCAGCCATTGTTAACAGCATTTGTTCCAGGACGTGCAACAGAGGAATGACGTCGTTCATCCCATAGTCCTGCCGACTCACGAATAGCGTGGCCTCCTCAAAGGGCCTGAGCAAGCGGCAGGTGTCACGCATGAGCTGCCAATGGCTGACATCGAAGTTACACAGGGGAGTACCTTTATCCGCTTGTAACATCAGGAAATCGGTGATGGCCTTTCGCTGTTCGTAAAGGCGGTCTAACATGTGTAGGGTTGAATTCCACCTTGTTGCAACGTCGCAGATCAGGCGATGCTGTGGAAATTCCGTTCTGCCGCTGCAGCTCAAGGAGGGTGTGCTTTGCGGTGTAGGAATGGCTGAAATGCATGCAAAGTTTACGTGACATTTTAAGATGTCTTGCAGTGGGATGGTGGATTTTAGGAACCGCTTGACAACCAGATTGAACACGTGAGCCATGCATGGCGCATGGCACAACCTTCCTTGACGCAGAGCAGACACCATGTTCTTTCCGTTGTCGGTCAACATGGTTCCGATTTTCAGTTTGCGCGGAGACAGCCATCTGTCGATTTCTCTGTTCATTACACTGAGAAGTTCCTCCCCTGTGTGACTACGTTCGCCAAGGCATACCAGGTGCAGCACAGCGTGACACCGTTGCGCCCTGCACATGTGATATGCCGGTCGGGTAATGGGACTTGGCACGGGGGTGGCGGCTGAGGACACGGCGGAAAAGAGGTGTAGAGGCGGACATCTTTTGTGGACCAAGGACGTGCAAACGTGGAGGCAAAAGCGGCGTGACCTGTCCAAGTTGCTGGTGCGGCTGTGACGGCACCACGTTCACCCAGTGGGCCGTAAATGACATGTACTGTCCCTGACCGTAGTTACAGCTCCACACGTCGGCGCTGCCGTGCACTTTGGCAGAGACCGACATGCTCAAAGACTGGCCCACCATCTCTTCTACATGTGAATGCAGGGCTGGCACTGCCTTTTTGGCGAAGAAATGACGGCTTGGCACTCTCCACCGCGGCGCGGCACAAGCCATCATTTCTCGGAAAGGTGCTGAGTCCACCACTTGGAAGGGAGGGACTGCAGCACCAGCAACTTGGACAGGAGGACGTTCAGCTTTTGCACCGTCGGGTGCGTGCTCGCAAACTGTTGTCTCTTGGAAACGGATTCCAAGAAAGACTGCTGACGGAATCCGTGAAGAGGAGTAGCAGGAGAAGGAGCATCTGAACGAGCGGAAGATGCCAACGAGCGACAACTCCCCTCAGCAGAGGTGTTGGAGCCTTGACTGGCTGATAGAGGGCGATTGACGTCGGGTGACGGAGCAAGTAACGGAGCGGGTGATGGAGCGGGGGCTGGGGCAGGCAGAACCGCCGTATCTTTATCACGGTTTTCCCCCAGGCCACCAAATGGCGACGCTGCATATGCTGCCGCAACGCTGTAGTCCCAACATGGGCCCCCTGGCCACGCTTGACTTTCTGGCCACATAGTCGACATACGGCTACGTTTACTTCCTCGGGCGGCTTGACAAAAAATTGCCACACCGCCGAGTAGGAAACTTTGCCCCCGATACTCCTCACTGGCTGACTGCTGCTTCCTCCGTGCACACCGGCACCACTACTGGCCGTGGTGGTAGGCTGCAGTGGAGCTGGTGCTCTACTCCGTGGCCGTTTGCCTCCACTGACACTGCTGCGACCCTGCTGCCTCCTGGGCAACCCACCGACTGTTTTGCTCGCTGCCAAGCTGCCACCCTCTTCTCCTGATGATGCGGAAGCAATAGCCTGATGACGACGAGGCTGCCAAGTGCGATCAGCCTCATCATCATCAATTAGGGTCTCCGCCTCACTACTAGCCCCCTCGGCTGCGTGTGGGTCAGGAGACAGACCTGTCTCTAGAGACCGGCTACCGAGCCACTCTCCTCGCCACTACTTCTTCGCCTGGCTGCTGAAGAGGCGGATGTCTCCCCCCGTTCCTGACCGCCCTCTGTTAGCTCTTCCTCACTGTACAGTGGGGCTGAGCCCACAGCATGCGATACTTCGCTTGGTGAGGGAACACCAAAGGACAGGGGCAGGTAGAGGACACGTGATTTCAGTGGGCTTGCTCCCGGGCCATGCCAACTAACGGTTGTGTCTGACGTACCCACCGACCGTTGGCTGTAGGTGTCAGAGGTGACCTGGGAAGAGGAAGACGACCGAGCCAACCAATCGATGACGGCAGGGTTGTCGGTGGAGACACGACCGCTGGATGACACCGGGAGCACTGGCCTCTGGCTGCGAATAGTGCTGCCTCGACCCCTTCCTCTGCTGCCACGTCTGCTCGCTCCTAAAACATTGCCTCCTCTGCCACTCCTCTGCATGTTGTCTGACATACTCTTTAATTAAACGATTCTGTGTCCCTGAGTAACAATTCTGTCCCTGTAACAATTCTGTGTCCCTGAGTAACAATTCTGTGTGTCCCTGAGTAACGTTTTGTCCCTGAGTAACAATTCTGTGTCCCTCAGTAACAATTCTGTGTCCCTCAGTAACAATTCTGTGTCCCTCAGTAACAATTCTGTGTCCCTCAGTAACAATTCTGTGTCTGTCCCTGAGTAAAATTCTGTGTCTGTCCCTGAGTAACAATTCTGTGTCCCTGAGTAACAATTCTGTGTCCCTCAGTAACAATTCTGTGTCCCTCAGTAACAATTCTGTGTCCCTCAGTAACAATTCTGTGTCCCTGAGTAACAATTCTGTGTCTGTCCCTGAGTAACAATTCTGTGTCCCTGAGTAACAATTCTGTGTCCCTCAGTAACAATTCTGTGTCCCTCAGTAACAATTCTGTGTCCCTCAGTAACAATTCTGTGTCCCTCCTGAGTAACAATTCTGTGTCCCTGAGTAACAATTCTGTGTCCCTGAGTAACAATTCTGTGTCCCTCAGTAACAATTCTGTGTCCCTCAGTAACAATTCTGTGTCCCTCAGTAACAATTCTGTGTCTGTCCCTGAGTAACAATTCTGTGTCTGTCCCTGAGTAACAATTCTGTGTCCCTGAGTAACGTTTCTGTGGCCCTAAGTAACAGTTCTGTGTCCCTCAGTAACAATTCTGTGTCCCTCAGTAACAATTCTGTGTCTGTCCCTGAGTAACAATTCTGTGTCTGTCCCTGAGTAACAATTCTGTGTCCAGAGTAACAATTCTGTGTCCCTCAGTAACAATTCTGTGTGTCCCTGAGTAACAATTCTGTGTCCCTGAGTAACAATTCCCTGAGTAACAATTCTGTGTCCCTAAGTAACGTTTCTGTGTGGCCCTAAGTAACAATTCTGTGGCCCTCAGTAACAATTCTGTGTCCCTCAGTAACAATTCTGTGTCTGTCCCTGAGTAACAATTCTGTGTCCCTCAGTAACAATTCTGTGTCCCTCAGTAACAATCTCTGTGTCCCTCAGTAACAATTCTGTGTCCCTGAGTAACAATTCTGTGTCTGTCCCTGAGTAACAATTCTGTGTCTGTCCCTAAGTAACAATTCTGTGTCCCTAAGTAACAATTTTCTGTGGCCCTAAGTAACGTTTCTGTGGCCCTCAGTAACAATTCTGTGTCCCTCAGTAACAATTCTGTGTGTCCCTGAGTAACAATTCTGTGTCCCCTAAGTAACGTTTCTGTGTGTCCCTAAGTAACGTTTCTGTGGCCCTAAGTAACAATTCTGTGGCCCTAAGTAACGTTTTTCTGTGTCCCTCAAGTAACAATTCTGTGTCCCTAAGTAACAATTCTGTGGCCCTAAGTAACAGTTCTGTGCCCTCAGTAACAATTCTGTGTCCCTCAGTAACAATTCTGTGTCCCTCAGTAACAATTCTGTGTCTGTGCCCTGAGTAACAATTCTGTGTCCCTAAGTAACGTTTCTGTGTCCCTAAGTAACAATTCTGGCCCTAAGTAACACAATTCTGTGTGCCCTAAGTAACGTTTCTGTGCCCTAAGTAACGTTTCTGTGGCCCTAAGTAACGGTTCTGTGTCCCTCAGTAACAATTCTGTGTCCCTCAGTAACAATTCTGTGTCTGTCCCTAAGTAACAATTCTGTGGCCCTAAGTAAAATTTTCTGTGGCCCTAAGTAACGTTTCTGTGTCCCTAAGTAACGGTTCTGTGTCCCTCAGTAACAATTCTGTGTCCCTCAGTAACAATTCTGTGTCTGTCCCTGAGTAACAATTCTGTGTCCCTAAGTAACGTTTTCTGTGGCCCTAAGTAACGGTTCTGTGGCCCTCAGTAACAATTTCTGTGTCCCTCAGTAACAATTCTGTGTCTGTCCCTAAGTAACAATTCTGTGTCCCTAGTAAACGTTTCTGTGGCCCTAAGTAACGTTTCTGTGGCCCTAAGTAACAATTCTGTGGCCCTAAGTAACGTTTCTGTGGCCCTAAGTAACGTTTCTGTGGCCCTCAGTAACATTCTGTGTCCCTCAGTAACAATTCTGTGTGTCCCTCAGTAACAATTCTGTATCCCTCAGTAACAATTCTGTGTAACAATTCTGTCCCTAAGTAAAATTCTGTGGCCCTAAGTAACGTTTCTGTGGCCCTAAGTAACGGTTCTGTGGCCCTCAGTAACAATTCTGTGTCCCTCAGTAACAATTCTGTGTCTGTCCCTAAGTAACAATTCTGTGGCCCTAAGTAACGTTTCTGTGGCCCTAAGTAATGTTTCTGTGGCCCTAAGTAACGATTCTGTGTCCCTAAGTAACGTTTCTGTGGCCCTAAGTAACGTTTCTGTGGCCCTCAGTAACAAATCTGTGTCCCTCAGTAACAATTCTGTGTCTGTCCCTAAGTAACAATTCTGTGGCCCTAAGTAACGTTTCTGTGGCCCTAAGTAACGGTTCTGTGGCCCTCAGTAACAATTCTGTGTCCCTCAATAACAATTCTGTGTCTGTCCCTAAGTAACAATTCTGTGTCCCTAAGTAACGTTTCTGTGGCCCTAAGTAACGATTCTGTGGCCCTCAGTAACAATTCTGTATCCCTCAGTAACAATTCTGTGTCTGTCCCTGAGTAACAATTCTGTGTCCCTAAGTAACGTTTCTGTGGCCCTAACTAACGATTCTGTGGCCCTAAGTAACGTTTCTGTGGCCCTAAGTAACGTTTCTGTGGCCCTCAGTAACAAATCTGTGTCCCTCAGTAACAATTCTGTGTCTGTCCCTAAGTAACAATTCTGTGGCCCTAAGTAACGTTTCTGTGGCCCTAAGTAACGGTTCTGTGGCCCTCAGTAACAATTCTGTGTCCCTCAATAACAATTCTGTGTCTGTCCCTAAGTAACAATTCTGTGGCCCTAAGTAACGTTTCTGTGGCCCTAAGTAACGTTTCTGTGGCCCTAAGTAACGATTCTGTGGCCCTCAGTAACAAATCTGTGTCCCTCAGTAACAATTCTGTGTCTGTCCCTAAGTAACAATTCTGTGGCCCTAAGTAACGTTTCTGTGGCCCTAAGTAACGATTCTGTGGCCCTCAGTAAACAATTCTGTATCCCTCAGTAACAATTCTGTCTGTCCCTGAGTAACAATTCTGTGTCCCTAAGTAACGTTTCTGTGGCCCTAACTAACGATTCTGTGGCCCTAAGTAACGTTTCTGTGGCCCCTAAGTAACGTTTCTGTGGCCCTAAGTAACAATTCTGTGGCCCTAACTAACGTTTCTGTGTCCCTAAGTAACGTTTCTCTGTCCCTAACTCTCTCCCTGAATACAGCCAGGTCTGCCTCTGTTGAATGACTGGAGGCAAATGGAGAATTCTAAAATGGCCGCCATTTATAGCTCGACCATTACACTGTGCTGGCTGGCTGGCTGCTGATTGGCTAATGCGATCACATGTCATGAATGAATGCATTATGGGTCAGCGCGCCTTGTCTGCGCGCCTGCCCAGACATCCCCGCTCCGTCGCCGCACATGTCGCCGCCATTTTAGGAAAAATTTTGAATCCGCCTACTTCGATTCGCTCATCTCTAATTTCCATACTCAGGAGGAGTAGCAGAATGTGTTTTGGGGTGTAGTTGCAAGCATTAGAGATGAGCGAATCGAACTTGGCGAAGTGGAATTCCTTTACGAATATTAGGAAAAATTCGATTTGCGCCGAATCCGAAAATTAGCAAACTTCGGATGAACGAATCGAATTTTCCCCGATCGGCCGATTTTCATCCCTTCTACAGCCGGCAAAAAGTGTACCCCTGCAGAGAGCTCCGCTATTTCTGACAGTTCTCTGACAGTTCCTTCACATTTACAGCGTTTGAAACATTGTATCTATTTGTTTCCATTTAGGATACAGATGTTTTTATTTGGAAACAAATAGATACAATGTTTCAACCGCTGTAAATGTGAAGGAACTGTCAGAGAACTGTCAGAAATAGCGGAGCTCTCTGCAGATACACTTTTTGCTGTACTGGAATTCTTCTTATTTTCATCCTACTTCTTCTTCTTCTTCTTCATCTCATCCCTCATCCTCCCCCCCCCCCCCCCCCCCCCCCCCCCCCCCCCCCACCCCCCCCCACCTCTTCTTCTTCCCCTTCCTCTTCTCATCCTCTTCCTCTCCTCTTCTTCTTCTTCTTCTTCCCCCCTCATCCTCTTCTTCTTCTTCTTCTACCTCTTCCTCATCCTCATCCTATTCTTCTTCTTCTTCTTATTCATCCTCATCCTCCTTCTTCTTCTTCTTCTTCATCCTCATCTTCTTCTTCTTCATCCTCATCCTCTTCTTCTTCTTCTTCATCATTCTCATCCTCTTCTTCTTTCTTCTTCTTCTTCTTCTTCATCCTCATCCTCTTCTTCTTCTTCTTCTTCTATACTCATCCTCATCCTCATCCTCTTCTTCTTCTTCTTCTTCTTCTTCATCCTCTTCTTCTTCTTCTTCTTCATCCTCATCCTCTTCTTCTTCTTCTTCTTCTTCTTCTTCATCCTCATCCTCTTCTTCTCTTCTTCCTCATCTCTTCTTCTTCTTCTTTCTTCTTCTTCTTCTTCTTCATCCTCATCCTCTTCTTCATCATCATCCTCATCCTCTTCTTCTTCATCCTCACCCTCATCCCTTCTTCTTCTTCATCCTCATCCTCTTCTTCTTCTTCTTCTTCCTCATCCTCTCTTCTTCTTCATCCTCATCCTCTTCTTCTTCTTTTTCTTCTTCATCCTCATCTTCTTCTTCTTCTTTATCCTCATCCTCTTCTTCTTCTTCTTCATCCTCATCCTCTTCTTCTTCTTTCTTCTTTCTTCTCCTTCATCCTCATCCTCTTCTTCTTCTTCTTCTTCTTCTTCTTCCTCATCCTCTTCTTCTTCTTCTTCTTCATCCTCATCCTCTCTTTCTTCTTCTTCTTCATCCTCATCCTCTTCTTCTTCTTCTTCTTCTTCATCCTCATCTTCTTCTTCTTCGTCCTCATCCTCTTCTTCTTCTTCTTCTTCATCCTCATCCTCTTCTTCTTCTTCCTCATCCTCATCCTCTTCTTCTTCTTGATCCTCATCCTCTTCTTCTTCTTCTTCTTCATCCTCATCTTCTTCTTCTTCTTCATCCTCATCCTCTTCTTCTTCATCCTCATCCTCTTCTTCTTCAATTGAATCTGCTTCTGCTCCGTCACTCTGCCATTGGACTCTTGATAGTCGTCTCCCCACACTGCTGCTGGGGGGACTTTTTTAACATAGGCCTCTGTATGGCCTTCAATTTAAGCTGCTTACGCTTCGCCACTCTGCCATGGGCCCCCTGTACCGCCTCCTCATGCTGCTGCCAGGTCCAGAGTGTGTCATGGGTCCCTGTACGGCCTCCCATTGCTGCTGTCTCCATCGCCACACTCTGCCATGTGCCACTTTCAGGTCTCCTCACACTGCTGGTGGGTTCCATTTTGTCATAGGGTGCTGTATGGCCTCCCATTGCTGCTGCCTCCACCGCCACACTGTGGCTCCACACTTTTTGGTTTTGGCCCCGTGACTGCCCAAATGAGTAAAGTGTGCGGTGATTCTAAGATCGACGGCACTCATCTGCATGTCATACTGACTGACAGTATTATTTCTCTTCCCAGCAGACTCCAAGGGCATTTAAATTAAAGGTACAGTGTTCTGCACTAATATAAAGGCTCTCTGAAGCCTATTAAAAACCCTTTTAATAAGTTAAATTCGCAGCGAATAAATTCGCATCGAATCGAATTTATTCCGCAAATTCAGCGAATCAGCCGAATCGAATTTTTGAATAATTGCTCATCTCTAGCAAGCATGTTTATGCTATGTGTGAGAAATAACATTAATATGACGGTTTTGTTAAAAAAAAATGTATTTACTTTCTTATTTTCCAAAGATTTGTGGGAAAAAAAATTACAACTTCAAAAAATTCACCATGCCTCTAAATACCGCAGAATATCTACTTTCCAAAAATGGGTCATTTAAGGGTATTTGTACTGTCCTGGCATATTAGGACCTCAAGAAATGAGATGGCACGTCAGTACATCAGGTGTGATCAAGTTTCAATGATAGGTACCATAGCTTGAAGACTCTGTAACTATCATAGAGACCAACAAAGAAATGTAGCAGTATAAATGTTGCTAAAAATTTATGAAGAAAAATGACTTATTTGCAAAATTTTACAACAGAAGCTAAGAAACGTGCTTTTTTCTAAATTTGCATTTTTTTTCATTTATTGCACAAAAAAATGAAAAACCCAGTGGTGATTAAATACCACCGAAAGAAAGCTCAATTTGTGTAGAAAAAAATTACAAAAATGTCAATGTCATGGGTATGGGTACACCGTTGCATGAGTAATTGTCATTCAAAGTGTGAGAGCGCTGAAAGCTGAAAATTGGCCTGGGCAGGAAGGGGATGAAAGTGCCCAGTATTGAGGTAGTTAAATACCACCAAAAGAATGCTCTGTCACGAAAAAATGATAAAAGTTTCATTTGGGTACAGTGTTACTGTATATAACTGAGTAACTGTCATTTACAGTACTGAAAACTTAAAAATGGCATGGACAGGAAGTGGGTGAAAGTGTCTGATACTGAGGTGGGTAAATATCATACTTTTGCTTTTTTTTTTGTTTTTTTTATTAATATTTTATTAAGTTTTACATTTTATCTCTTTTTTCGACATAACTTATTCCAATATTTTACCCAACATACAAAAGATACAAACTCTCCCTTCCCTCCTCCCTATCCCACCCCTTGCCTTCCCCTCCCTCCCCCCACCTCCACCTCTCAGCAACATTTCTCTCTCTTTTGGAATCCTAGGGTATTCATATATTCTTCTATCTTATACAATTTCAATTAGTTTAACCTTCTTGAACTCCAACTTTTTCCATTTCTCATGAAAACACTCCACTTTATCCTCATCTATATGGTATAGTTCTTCCATCCTATATATCTGGTCTACCTTTTTAATCCAGTCCGATATTCTTGGTGCTTCCTGTTCCATCCAGAATTTAGTAAATAAGCCTTTTGCTGCATTAATATACTGCAATAACCCAGAATTTTTATACCTTTCAACCGTTAACTCTGTTCCGTGAAAGAGACATACCCCTGGCTCCTTTAAAATTTTTATCCCAGTTATTTCTTGTGTCAAGTGAAGTACACCAAATGTGACCTAGTGTGCCCTGTTCCCCACAACCCCTCCAACATAAAGGTGATTTATCCCTATTTTGTTTGTGTACTATGTTTGGTGACATATATCAGCTCGCCAAGCATTTATAATTCATCTCCACCTCTTTCAGGCTCACATTACCGTGTGTTAACTTGTAAATCTTTTTTGTTTATCCTCCCCTATTTTTATTCCTAATTCTCTTTCCCATCTCTCCATATATGCCAGTACCGTATATGTTGTTAACTTAGTAAGAATTTTATATATTTTCGAAGTTCCATGTTTTCCATCTCCCCGTGTACTAAACAAATTTTCAAATGGGTTCCATTGTTCTTTTTTCCTTAGGGGCATAGGAAGTTTTTCTATGAAATGTTTTATTTGTAGATACCGCCACTCATCTACTTTAATGAACAGCTCTCTTTTCTTCTTCAATTCTACTAAGGGGCACATTTCCACATCTTTCATTAGATCACTTAATTGAGCATCTTCCTTCCTTTTCCATCTCCCTGCAATCTTTTCATTCCCAGGTGGAAAAAAAACTGTGTTTACAATAGATATCAACATAGAGTTATCCCATCTGTTTGCACATTGTGTCCAAAGCTCCCAAAACAATTCTTGTGAATACACTTGCACATTCTATCACTCCACGAATGACAATTGCGCGGGTCATACAACATTGCACCCAAACTAAAATTTTATCATTTTCTTCACACAACTAGAGCTTTCTTTTGGTGATATTTAATCACCACTGGGGTTTTTATTTTTTGCTAAATTAACAAAAAAAGACCAAAAATGTTGAAAAACGTTTTTCTTTGTATCTGTTATAAAAGTTTGCAAATAAATAATTGTTCTTCATAAATTTAGGCCAAGATGTATTCTGCTACATGTCTTTGGTGAAAATAACCCAAATTAGGATGTATTTTTTAGTTTTTAGGAAAGTTATAGAGTTCACAAACTATGGGATATATCTGAATATTCATCAATCCTGAAGTACTGACAGCTAAACTAATTTCCTGAGGACCAATTTTTACATACTGTCACCAGTGCAGTACAGCATCATCATATAACTGGCATGGCGGTGGTCAGGGACACTGACAGGTGACAGTATAAAAAAAATTATACATTTTTTTATTTTATTTTTTATTATTTTAAATTTTTTATTACTTTTTTTTCTTTTTTTTAAGATTTGTTTTTCATATTTCACTATGACCAAAGTAGTACAATGTTACCATAGTAACATTGTACAACTTTGGGGAAGTGATCAGTATTTTTTTTTTACACAATTTGCTTATAGCAAAGAATTACTTTGCTATAAGCAAGCATTTACAGGAATGACATTGATTCATTCAGGGTTTTTTTTTTTTTGTGCTTAGCTGTGATTTGGCCACGGCTAATCACATAACACAGCTGGGCTGTGATTGGCCCAGCTTGTGCATGTGATCGCTGTGACCATTCACAGCTAGACACACTAGTATACAATGGATGGCATGAATAAAGCCATCCATTGTATACAACTGTTATGTGACCTGCTGTGATTGGTCACAGCAGGTCACATGGTACCGGCAACAGGGCCGGTACTCAGATCTGTCATCGGCCGTGTCTGAGGTACACGGCCAGTGACAGATCGCGCCGCTGTGCGGCTCTGCAGGCGCGCAAACTGTGCATTCCCGAAAGGACGCCATATGGCGTCCACCCAGAAAGGTGAGGGATTTTGCCGGCAGCCATTCGGCCATAGGCCAGGTGGGAAGAGGTTAAAGTGTTTTCTGTATTTATCCAACTTTTTCCCTGTGAGTTATGTGTCCAATCAAAAATTTGTACTATCAAGACTGCATTATAATATCTTCTAAGATCAGGTACACCTAAACCCCCATTTAGTTTGTCTCTAGTTAGAACTTCATAGCTTATTCTGGGGTTTTTATTTCTCCATATGAACTTTAGCATAATTTGTTTTATTATCCTAAAATACAATCCAGGCAGCTTTATTCGGATCATCTGGAATTTATACAAATTTTTGGAACGATTACTGTTTTATTTAAATATATTCGTCCTATCCACAATATACCACCTATCCCAAATTTTCTCATTTCATCTTTAATTTCGTGTAATAATGGAATATAATTTACTTTGTATAGATTCTTCAAGGAGACTGCTAACTTTATTCCTAAGTATTTTAGTTCTTTTTCCTTCCTGTTTTAGTTGGGTTAATTTTCAAGTTAGACAACTCCCCATATTCCTTCAATATTTTAATTAAACTGGGTAGTGTTATCCTTGGGTTACCTACATAGAAGAGCATGTTGTCCGCGTACGCCAAAACTTTATGCTCTGTCTCTCCTA